ATATATATATATATATATATATATATATATATATATATATATATATATATATATATATATATATATATATATATATATATATATATATATATATATATATATATATGGGTATGTGTGTTTGTGTATATCTGTGTCTGTGGGTATGTGTGTCTGTGTATATCTGTGTCTGTGGGTATGTGTGTTTGTGTGTGTACGTGCATAGGCTAAAACATTCGTTTTCAAGAGTCGTCTTACAAAGAGGACGTTAAAGACATTTGGAGGTTGGATCAATTAGAAAGAAAAAAGAACAATGTAATGAAATGCTTCTGGAAACGCATAAATGTTTATTGTGACAGTTCATTACATTCAACTCATTGTGGAGACTATTTTGTGGCAGTCATTTGTTTATGACGTAGTTGATATAAATGATATATACTATAAAAAATAATAATAATAGTATTAGCAACAATAATCAGTGGCAAATCTAAAGTCACCAGCTCAATTTTGGCCACACTACCACATATTTTGCTACTTTCTTGGGCCCCCTTCAAAATTTCAAAACTTACACATTTTCAAAATTTAGGCGCTCCCCTTCAAAGTTGTCCTGATCCGTCAATAACACTAACACTAACAATAACAATGTGAACGTATTTTATTTATTCAATCGACAAAATACAATTCAAAATAATAAGAAATAAGAAATGAAGTTTAATAAAAATTGAGTTTTAATGAATATAATCGAATAATAATAGTAATAATAATAATAACATTATTATTTTTATTATTACCACTATTGTTATTTTTATTTTCATAGTTATATTAATAATGTCAACCATGAAAAACAACAGTACCTAATGTTGTTATTATGAGTGGAACATATGTCAATGTTTTCATTTTATGCGGTTGTGATCCAGCCAGGTAGAATGCTTCATTGAAATTTGAAATATGGATTTTGTTCAATTTTAAATAAACTACCTGTGGTTCGGCATTCATTTGAAATCATTTGTTAGTTGAAGCAGCAGACAAACCGAAGATGATTAATAATGTTCTTCAGCGGTAAAAATTTGAGACAGTGTTTGAACGTTTATGGCAGAGTTCATTGTCATTGAGGAGTATCTCTATTGGTTAGCTCGATTGTATATATTTTTAATATGTGTGTATGTATATGCGTGCGTGCACATATAAAAATAAATATATACATTATACATATATATTATATATTATTATTATTATTATTATTATTATTATTATTATTATTATTATTATTATTATTATTACTAATGAAACATTTATAAGCGCTAATTAAAATCAAAAAGTTCTCAAAAGCGCTATCTATAATCAAACAAAGTCAAAAAAGAAAAAAAAAGTACAGTCAATGGCGGTAGTAACAAACAAATAATTATTCACTAAACAACAAAATCAAAGCGAAAATAAGTAAGTTTTAAGTTTCTTTTTAACATCATCAAATTTCAAATCTTTAGTTCTAAAAGATCTCGGTAAGCCATTGATCCAGATATTGCAAAATCTCTTGATGTTATCTGCAGGTTGACATCGGGTACAACCAGCATGTATATATATATATATATATATATATATATATATATATATATATATATATATATATGAATAATTATATATATATGTTTACGCGTTTGTATGTTTGTACATACGCATTGTGTAAATGTGTGTAGCATTAAATTGCAACAAAAGCATCCAAATTTGGGTAGAGCGGGAGATCCGCCTTCGTTCAGGCATCTGTGATCATTTTAAAAAACTGACAACATCCCAATGAAACTATGTAGCCACGTTAACTCACAACTCTTATTACATAACGATACACAAATTTTTGGCATATCTATCCAACGCTAAGCGCCAATCGCCGATTTTGCCCAATGTGTGCTTCGAAACCTGCTGGAACCACATCCATCACACATTTTCATTTGCATTTGACATGGATATGTTTCCAAAACGCATAACAACGGTAGATTTACATAGGTACAGCTTAATGAATCGACCTATGCAGATATTGTTGAAGCTTACAACACGAATCTCACATTTTGTGCATTTTTAAAAATTTACTAATGAGTCTTACAAGGGACGAAACACGTCTAGCCTAGAACGAGTTAGGTGTTCACAAAATATTATTATTATTCAGCCGTTTAATTCTGAACGTTAAAGAACCATCGATAAAAATTCAGAAATAGGCCTAGCAGAACGCATCATTGCTTGAAAGTTGTTCATTGTTTAAAAATTGTTCATACAATTGACGCATGTAAGACGCTGATTTTTATATATGAAACAGCCAATCAACAAACAAACGTCCATCCATTCAGTGTGAAGAGAATGTTGGCCGTTTATAAACAACTGAACAAACGAACTCAGTTGGTGTTTAATTTCTTGAAAAAATTAGAAATAGTTTTTAACAAAAATAGTTTATTTGAATGATAAGTTTTATTCGCATTTTATGTTTTTCCATCACTTTTTCACAGTGTGGCACAACCAAAGAATAAGACATAGGAAGCAGTTGAAGATATTTTCTAAATTTATCTCGTGAAACACAAATAGATTGTAAGCAATGCTGTTAACTACCACAAACTTAACTAATCTCACACCATGGTATTTCCAAATGATATTGCCGTGCTTATTCCTTCCTTTATAAACAGGCTTGGATTTAAGCGTAAGCATAGTAGGCAACGGCCTATAGAGGCTCTTTTTCGGGTTGGCCTTTTCGCTAATGTCTACTAAAAAACATTTTTTTTCGTTTTTGATTGAATTCAAAGTAACATAAGCTCTCCGAGTGAATTATCAGTCCATGTAACTGATTTTAGTGTTAATCCTGCAAGTGGCACTCGTTAGAAAAGCCGGCCTAACTTACGATGCATATGGAACTTATGACGACAGTAGCGTATCCAGGTCTGGCGGATGATTTCAAAAGTGTAAAAATAATAACCTTTTGTTTACTTCTCTTGCTTTCCGGAGTGAAGGATGATTTTTCGAAATTCTTAGTGATGAATTTTTATTTTGATAACGAAGAATCTTCAATATTTTTTCTTTCATAGTCTGGTGGAGAAATGCACCCTCGCATCCCCCTGGATCCGCCACTGTAGGGCGAAAAATTTGCATTTCGCTCACATTCAAAAATCTTACGGCACCGGGCTTAAGACAAGAGCCACAATGACGTCCTACGTTTATGATTGGTGCAGATGTTGCATAGATTCCAAACAGCCTTGGGTATTCGAGAAGGATGTTTATTAGAGAAATAGTTATTAAATGTAAAAAAATATGTAGACAGAGCATCAATTCATTTTTGTTAACTTTATCAAATCAGTAAATTTATTGAAACTGTTAACACAATGTTTTATGATTAAAATTGGATTTGTTATGGTCACTTAATAAAGTTATAACAAATTATGTTCCGCCCAACTAATTATCACCGGATTTAAAAAAAACATTAAATATAGGGAGAGCCAGGGACCCAGTTGTAAGCAGTGCATTTATTAACTCAATGAAACTCAGTTATTAGACAAAAAACACCGTCTATAAGTACAAAATTGGCCAAAATTGGCGTTATAAGCAAAAAACGGTCAAAGGACGCCATTCTAATTTTGGCCACACAAGCGAACATTTGGCTAAATTTTTGACCTCGCCTCTCAAACTTCAAAAATTTTAAATTTTGGCCCGTCTATGTTGTTCTCATCAACCACTGTTAGAGCT